CAGGCTGAGTTTTGCAGCTTGGAAAACAGACTCCTTGTTACAGAATTATTGTTTATTTACTCAATCAATCAGAATAGAGCTGGGAGGGATCTTCAAGGCCTTCTAATCCAACCCCCTGCTCAAGCAGGAGACCCTATACCATTTCAGATAGGTGGCTGTCCAGTCTCTTGTTAAAAACCTCCAGTGATGAAGCACCCACAACATCTAGAGGCCAGGTGTTCCACTGGTTAATTGTCTTCACTGTCAGGAAGTTTCTCCTTAGTTCCAGGTTGCTTCTCTCCTTGATTAGTTTCCATCCGTTGTTTTTTCTCTTGCTTTCTGGTGCTTTGGAGAATAGGTTGACCCCCTCATCTTTGTAGCAGCCCCTCAGATACTGGAACGCTGCTATCATGTCTCCCCTATTTCTTCTTTTCTCTAGACTAGCCAAACCCAAATCCTGCAACCGTTCTTCATTGGTTTTTGTCTCCAGGCCTTTAATCATCTTAGTTGCTCTTCTTTGCCCTTTTCCCAAAGTCTTAACATCTTTTTTATAATGTGGGGATCAAAACCGGATGCAGTATAGCCAGGTGTGGTCTTAACTAGGGTTTTATAAAGCGGGACTAATACTTCGCATCATCTTGATTCTATGCCTCTGTTTATACAACCCAGGATTGTATTAGCTTTTTTGGGCTGCTGCTGCACACGGCTGGCTCATAGTCAAGTGATCGTCCACTAGGACTCCAAGGTCCTTCTCACCGTTGCTGTTTTTCAGCCAGATCTTGCCCAACCTGTATTTGTGCCTTCCCCCCCCCCCCCGCCTAAATGTAAAATTTTGCTTTTCCTCCACATTGAAACTCATTTTGTTGGATAGGGCCCATTGTTCCAGTTTGTCAAGATCTTTTTGGATTCTGAGCTTGTCTTCTGGGGTGTTGGCTATTCCTGCCAGCTTGGTGTCATCTGCAAATTTGATGAGTTCCACTTATATTCCTTCATCTAAGTCATTGATGAAGATATTGAAGAGTCCTGGGCCTAAGACGGAACCTTGTGGTACCCCACGGCTTACTTTCCTCCATGGAGATATAGTACTTTTAAGGACGACTTAAAAAATAGATAAGCCAACTTTTTAAAAAATCTGTTTTTAACAGAAAATACCTGTTCCTTCTGCTGGGTCCTCCTTTTTCTCCATCTCTCCCTCGTCTTCCTCTTCCTTCTTTTCCATCTTCCTCCTATTTCATTGTCTCAGTCTCCTCCTCCTCCTCTTCTCTTCTCTTCTCTTCTCTTTTTTCTCCTTCTCCTCCTCCTCCTTCTCCTCCTCCTCCTCCTCCTCCTCCTCCTCCTCCTCCTCCTCCTCCTCCTCCTCCTCCTCCTCTTCTTCTTCTTCTTCTTCTTCTTCTTCTTCTTCTTCTTCTTCTTCTTCTTCCTTCCTTCCTTCCTTCCTTCCTTCCTTCCTTCCTCTTCACTCTTCTTTCTTTCCTTAGTAGCACTGATGGTTTCCTAGTTGGGTCATAAAACATCTGCAAGAAAACAACCAGGCTCAGAGAGCACCAAAGACCCCACAGTCCTCCTCCTGCTCCTGCTCCTCCTGCTCCTGCTCCTCCTCCTCCTCCTCCTCCTCCTCCTCCTTCTTCTTCTTCTTCTTCTTCTTCTTCTTCTTCCTCCTCCTCTTCTTCTTCTCTTCCTCCTCCTCTTCCTTCCCCTTCACTCTTCTTTCTTTCCTTAGTAGCACTGATGGTTTCCTAGTTGGGTCATAAAACATCTGCATGAAAACAACCAAGCTCAGAGAGCACCAAGGACTTCACAATCCTTCTCTTTCTCCCTCTCCTTCTCCTTCTCCTTCTTCTCTTCCTCCTCCTCTTCTTTCCCCTTCACTCTTCTTTCTTTCCTCCTCCTCCCCCTCCTCCTCCCCTCCCCCTCCCCTCCTCCCCCTCCCCCTCCTCCAACAGTAGCCTCTGCTGTTCAGAAGCCCAAATTAGCAAAGCGATAACAAGCCCATCTCAGACCAAGCCATGAACACTCCAGGATTAAGGCATGAAGTTTTGAAGTGGATTTATTTAAGGCCGAGATAAAAGTCATTGAGATACATCAGCTGCTGGAACAGACAGGAGACAGGATAAAAAAAAAATGGATAAAAGCTACACTATGGTGGGACTTATCTCTGCTTGCTTAGATTGGCTTTCTGGAAAAAACATGGGGACATCGGTGGGTGGGTGAGTGGGTGGGTGGGGGTGGGGATATTGCCAAGGCAGATCTCCACTATCTTATTGCTCCTTTCCAGTAGTGGCTTTTGCATTAATCTGGATTCTCTGGCCAACTCTAATTTGTACCTATAGAAGTGAATTACCACTTTATAAGACCACACTTGGAATATAGCACCCAGTTTTGCTCGCCATATTATAAAAAAATGTTGAGACTCTGGAAAGAGGGCAGGAGGCTAAAACAAAGAACGGTGGCAGGAATTGGGAATGTCTAGTTTAATGAAAAGAAGGACTAAGTGTGACATGATAGCAGTCTTCTAATATTTGAGGGGCTGTCACAGAAACAAGGGGGTCAACCTATTCTCCAAAGTACCTGAAGAAGGCAGGACAAGAAGCAATGGATGGAAACTAATCAAGGAGAGAAGCTACCTGGAATTAAGGTGATATTTCATGACAGTGAGGATAATTAACCAGTGGAATGGCTTCCCTCCAGAGTTTGTGGGTGCTCCATCACTGGAGGCATTTAAGAAGAGACTGGACAGCCATAGGGTCTCCTGCCATTGGCAAGGGTTGGACTAGAAGACCTCCAAGGTCCCTTCCAACTCTGTCATTCTGGTATTCTGTTAGAACAGGGGTAGGCAACCTTGGCTCTTTTATGACTCGTGGGCTTCAACTCCCAGAATTCCTCAGCCAGCATGGGGGAACTATGGCCCCTTCATGACTCCTGGACTTCAATTCCCAGAATTCCTGAGCCAGCATGGGGGAACTATAGCCCCTTCATGACTTATGGACTTCAACTCCCAGAATTCCTGAGCCAGCATGGGGGAAATTTGGCCCCTTCATGACTCATGGACTTCAACTCCCAGAATTCCTGAGCCATTATGGGGGAAACTATGGCCCCTTCATGACTTGGGGACTTGAACTCCCAGAATTCCTGAGCCAGCATGGGGGAACTTTGGCCCCTTCATGACTCCTGGACTTCAACTCCCAGAATTCCTAAGCCAGCATGGGGAAACTATGGTCCCTTCATGACTTGTGGACTTCAACTCCCAGAATTCCTGAGCCAGCATGGGGGAACTATGGCCCCTTCATGACTCCCGGACTTCAACTCCCAGAATTCCTGAGCCAGCATGGCTCAGCTTGGAAACTCTCCCTTTCCCCTCAGCATGGCTGGCTCTGGAATTCTGGGAGTTGAAGTCCATGAGTCATAAAAGAGCCAGGTTTCCCCCACCCCTGTGTTAGAGTATCTATAGCTCAGGGCTGAACTGTGGGGTCCTCTAAGCTTGGTGTTTTTCTTGCAGACCTTTCATGACTCAACTAGGGAATATCATCAGTGCTAGAAGAGATGGGGGGTTCCTCTCTATTTATATACAATTAGTTTTCTTGCAGAGAGCAACGCTTCTAATTTAGCGCTTTTCAAACTTGGTAACTTTAAAATGGGTGAGGTTCAACTCCCCAAATTCCCCAGCCAGCAGGCTTTAATCCAGTGGTGGAATTCAAATAGGTGAACAACTGGTTCTCTGTGTGGATGCCGCTTCCGGATGTCCATTCTAGGCTTGGGCAACGAACAAATTAGCGACCGGTTCTGCCGAAGTGGTGCGAACCGGCTGAATCTCACCAGTGCTTTAATCCAACTCTCTGTAATGTGATAGAAAGGCAGTCTATCTGTTCTTGAGACATGGATGTTCAGCTCCTTCTTAAAACATCTCAAGGTGGAGAATCCTAGCTTTTGAAACGTCCAAAAAGAAGATGCATTTCTTTATGCATTCCCAGTTTGCAATGTGATCCTAATGATCTCAAGGACTGGCTGTATGGGGAGACAGGGATGCTAAGGGAATGTGATGCGGGAAGGCAAATGGGAGAGACACCCAAAGTGTCCTTTGCAAAGTTTCAGGGAGGCTGGAATGAGCAAAAGCATTTCAGATTACAGATCCACTCCATAATTGGTCTCCTGGCCTTCTGCTTTTCATAGATGTGGAAATGAGAAGGCAAAAAGGCAAAAAGCTTCCAAGGTGGATTGGAGAGTTGACCTGGAGGACAATCTCCTTCCGCCTTCTCAAGAAAATATATATAGAAAAAGAAAGGAAGAAAGAAGAAAGGGAAAGAAAGAAAGAAAGAAAGAGGAAAGGAAGGAAGGTGGCAAAGATGAAAGAAAGAGAAAAAGAAAAAGAAAGAGAGAAGGAGAAGGAGAAGGAAGGAAAGAGAAGGAAAGAGTGAGAGAAAGAGAGAAAGAAAGGGAGAGAGGGAGGAAGGAAGTAGAAAGAAAGAAACAGAAAGAGAGGGAGGGAGAAGGAAGGAAAGAAAGAAAGAGTGAAAGAGAAAGAAGAAAGGAGAAAGAAAGAAAAACATAGATGAAAGAGAGAAAGAGAAAGAAAGAGGGAGAGAGAAGGAAGGAAAGAAAGAAAAAGAAAGAAAGAGTGAAAGAGAAAGGGAGAAGGAAGAAAGGAAAAAGAAAGAGAAAGAGAAAGAAAGAGGGAAGGAGAAGGAAGGAAAGAAAGAAAAAGAAAGAAAGAGTGAAAGAGAAAGGGAGAAGGAAGAAAGGAAAAAGAAAGAGAAAGAGAAAGAAAGAGGGAAGGAGAAGGAAGGAAAGAAAGAAGGAAAGAAAGAAAGTGAAAGAGAAAGGGAGAAGAAAGAAAAACATAGATGAAAGAAAGAGAGAAAGAAAAAGGGAGGGAGAAGGAAAGAAAGAAGGAAAGAGAAAGTGAAAGAGAGAGTAAAAAAGAGGGAGGGAGAAGGAAGGAAGGAAGGGACAAGAAAGAAAGAAAGAAAGAAAGAAAGAAAGAAAGAAAGAAAGAAAGAAGATTAAAGGAAGGGAGGGAGGGAAGAAAGGAGGGAAGGAGGAATGAAGGAAGGAAGGAGAAGAGGGAGGGAGAAAAGGAAGGAAGAGAGGAATGAAAAGTTCATTATGAGCCATATCCTGCTGAATACATGCAACCAGCTTGAACGAAGAAGCGGGAAGGGTGCCATAATTCCCACCGCGCCTTGCTCTGTCTTTTTGAGGGTAGTGGGCTTATAGGCAGCTGGATGACCCCCACCTTCTGCTTCTCATCTCCAATTTTAGGTTCATGCCTGGAGGAAAATATTTCCCCCCACCTCAAGGAAAAAACAGAAGAGGAATTTCCCGTCCGGCAGAGAAATAGAGGCAGCCTGTTGATTGTCACCCTGTAAGACACCGGGAGATCCAGCGCTCCAAGAACCAGGATGAAGCGGCAATTCCTGATCACCTTTCTCCTGGCTCTCGTCTCGCAAAATGGGACGTGCAATGGGATCAGATGGTTGTAAGTCTTTCTTCCCCCTCTCCTCTCACAAATAACGGCCACACAAACACACAAAAAGGCCAGGATCTATTCAGATGTGCAGGAATTGCTTTAGAGTGGGGGACAGAACCAGAGAGGAAAGAAAGAAAGAATGAAGGAAGGAAAAGAGGAAAGAAAAAAGAAAGGAAGGAAGACAGACAGACAGAAAGAAAGAAGGGAGAGAGAAAGAATGAAAGAAAGAAAGGAGGAAGAGAGGAAAGAAAGAAAGAATGAATGAATGGAGAGAGAGAGAAAGGAAGGAAGGAAGGAAGGAAGGAGGGAAGAAGGGAGAGAGAAAGAAAGAATGAAAGGAAGAAAAAAAGAAAGAAAAGAGGAAGAGAGGGAAGAAAGAAAGAATGAATGAAGGGAGAAAGAATGAAGGAAGAGAGGAGAGAAAGAATGAAGGAAGGAAGAGAGGAAAGAAAAAAGAAAGGAAGGAAGGAAGAGGGAGAGAGAAAGAATGAATGAAAGAATGAAAAAGAAAGAAAGGAGGAAGAGAGGAAAGAAAGAAACAGAATGAATGAATGAAGAGAAAGAAAGAAAGAAAAGAGGAAGAGAGGGAAGAAAGAATGAATGAATGAAGGGAGAAAGAAAGAAGGAAGAGAGGAGAGAAAGAAAGAATGAAGGAAGGAAGAGAGGAAAGAAAAAAGAAAGGAAGGAAGGAAGAAGGAGAGAGAAAGAATGAATGAAAAAAAGAAAGACAAAGAAAGAAAGAAAGAAAGAAAGAAAGGAGGAAGAGAGGAAAGAAAGAAACAATGAATGAATGAAGAGAAAGAAAGAAAGAAAAGAGGAAGAGAGGGAAGAAAGAAAGAATGAATGAAGGGAGAGAAAGAAAGAGAAAGAAGAGAGGAGAGAAAGAAAGAAGGAAAAGAGGAAAGAAAAAAGAAAGGAAGGAAGGAAGAGGGAGAGAGAAAGAATGAATGAAAGAAAGAAAAAGAAAGAAAGGAGGAAGAGAGGAAAGAAAGAAACAAAGAATGAATGAATGAAGAGAAAGAAAGAAAGAAAAGAGAAAGAGAGGGAAGAAAGAATGAATGAATGAAGGGAGAGAGAAAGAAAGAAGAGAGGAGAGAAAGAAAGAAGGAAGGAAGGAAGAGGGAGAGAGAAAGAATGAATGAAAGAAAAAAAGAGAAAGAAAGAAAGGAGGAAGAGAGGAAAGAAAGAAGCAAAGAATGAATGAATGAAGAGAAAGAAAGAAAGAAAAGAGAAAGAGAGGGAAGAAAGAATGAATGAATGAAGGGAGAGAAAGAAAGAGAAAGAAGAGAGGAGAGAAAGAAAGAAGGAAGGAAGGAAGAGAGGGAAGAAAAAAAAGAAAGGAAGGAAGAGGGAGAGAGAAAGAATGAAAGAAAGAGAAAGAAAGAAAGAAAGAGAGGAAAGAAGAGAAACAGAGAAAGAAAGAAAGAAAGAAAGAAAGAAAGAAAGAAAGAAAGAAAGAAAGAAAGAAAGAAAAAGAAAGAATATGATGTCAATTTAAGGCTGGGGAAAAAAACCCGGAGCAAAATTAGATTTGGCAGATTTGTCCATCCCACCCCTGTGTGTGATTACAGGTGTATCAGGTTTCTCCCCCGCGTGCTTTGGGGTAATTCATCATATTGTGAAAAATCTTTCTCTTTGGGGGCGGGGGGGGGTGGGGGGTGGGCTGCAAGAATGTTCAGGAAATGTCTTATGTAGGGTTTGCCATCAATTCTTCCGTTGCATCATCTAAATCCTGGCTGGTTTTCAGAGCCAGAAGCAAATATTCTTCTCGTCCCAACCTTAGCCCCTTACAGGTAGTCCTCGAGTTTGTGACCGTTCGAAATTACAGCGGGCTCCACCTTCCCCCCAAAGGCACTTAACAATCCAGCTCCAAAGTTGCAAGGGGCACAATCCCCCACCCCACCCCACCCCTGACTGCGTTGATGATTGAGAGTCGTATCACTGCAAGTCACGTTTTTTGCTGAAAACTGGCACCTACTTCCAGTTTTTGACAAAAAACGCCTCGTAGAGAACTATGGGCTTTGCTTCCTAAGTGTAGTTTTTTTTTGCTTAATGACCGTGATGGGTCACTTTACAGCTACGGCGTTCATTTAACAAGGGCTGCAAATAAGCTCATAAAATCGGATCCAGTCATGGGGTTACCTGCTTTATGACCATCACGACTTACAGTTGTAATGAGCAGGCTAAATGCCTTAGCTGTGAAAGCCAGCTGGGTGACTTTGGGCCAATCACCAGGAGACAGTGAATTCTAGTCCTGCCTTAGCCATGAAAACTGGCTGGGTGATTTTGGGCCAATCACCAGGAGACTGAGAGTTCTAGTCCCGCCTTAGCCATGAAAACTGGCTGGGTGATTTTGGGCCAATCACCAGGAGACTGAGAGTTCTAGTCCCGCCTTAGCCATGAAAACTGGCTGGGTGACTTTGGATCAATCACCAGAAGACTGTGAGTTCTAGTCCCGCCTTAGGCATGAAAGTCAGCTGGGTGACTTTGAGCCAATCACCAGGAGACAGTGAATTCTAGTCCTGCCTTAGCTATGAAAGCCAGCTGAGTGACTTTGGGCCAATCACAAGGAGATAGTGAGTTCTAGTCCCGCCTTAGCCATGAAAACTGGCTGGGTGACTTTGGATCAATCACCAGAAGACTGTGAGTTCTAGTCCCGCCTTAGCCATGAAAGCCGATTGGGTGACTTTGGGCCAATCACCAGGAGATGGTGAATTCTAGTCCTGCCTTAGGCATGAATGTCAGCTGGGTGATTTTGGATCCATCTCCAGGAGACGGTGAGTTCTAGTCCCACCTTAGGGATGAAAGCCGGCTGAGTGACTTTGGGCCAATCACCAGGAGACTGTGAGTTCTAGTCCCGCCTTAGCCATGAAAGACACCTGGGTGACTTTGGGCCAATCACCAAGAGACTGTGAGTTCTAGTCCCATCTTAGCCATGAAAGCCAGCTGGGTGATTTTGGACCAATCCCCAGGTAACTGTGAGTTGTAGGTGGGTGACTTGGAGCCAGTCCCTCTCTCTCGCAGTCCAGCCCACTTCGCAGGGTTGTTGTTTGTCGGGAAAATAGGAGGAGGAAGCTGTGCTGGATATGTTTGCCACCTCGAGTTATTTGTAAAAAATAATAAAGGCAGGATTCAGATAAATAGATACAATGCAAATAGAGTTGCTGCTGTTCTTCTATGTTTGTGGGTTGGCAGCCATCCAACAGTCCCCCAAGTTTTGCTCTTAATTGCAACAGCCTTATCATGTTAGCTGAGATATGTGGATGCACACGCAGACTGCACATGTGAACATGGATTCAGAGGCAGGAACGCTCCCCCAGCTGAAGAGCTGGACCAACTTTTCCTTTGCACAAAGCTGACTCCCAAGTTTAGCGCGGACTTTTCAGTCCGAGTTGCCTTTTAATTTTCTAACGATGAAGCATTTTTATTTTAATATTTAGGAGAGGGTTTTTTTTGGGGGGGGAGAAACAGAGTTCTGAAAAGAGACTGGTAAATCAACCCACACCTATGCTTTTCCAGGTAGAGAAGAGATCCGGTTCTTTCGTCTCCTTCCTAAACCGGCTTGAATCTGAATGATTTAATACAATTTGTTTAATATAATTTAGAAATTGCCTGGCTCCAAATCCTTCTCGGTGAGTGATATTTTAAAAAGGACAGAGTGCAAATTCTAGGAAAGGGGAAAGGAGAGAACAAATGAGAGGATGGGAGGGGAGGAGGAAGGGGAAGGGAAAGAGGACAGAGAAAGAAAAAGAAAGAGAGAGAGAGAGAAAGAAAGAGAGAGAGAAAGAGAAAAAGAAAGAAAAAGAAAGAAGAGAGAGAGAAAGAGACAAAGAGAGAAAAAGAAAGAGAAAGAAAGAAAGAAGAAAAAGAAAAAAAGAAAGACAAAGAAGGAAGGAAGGAAGGAAGGAAGGAGGAAGAAAAGAGAAATTGAAGGAGAAAGAAAGAAGAGGAAGAAGTAAAGAAAAGGAGGAAGGAAGGAAGAAAGGAAGAAAGAAAGGAAGAAAAAAGGAAGGAAAGAAATTGAAGGAGAAAGAAAGAAGAGGAAGAAGTAAAGAAAAGGAGGAAGGAAGGAAGGAAGAAAAAAGGAAGGAAAGAAATTGAAGGAGAAAGAAAGAAGAGGAAGAGAAAGAAGTAAAGAAAAGGGAGAAGAAGGAAGGAAGGAAGGAAGGAAGGAAGGAGAACAACAAAGAAAACAATAAGGCAAGGATAACAATGAATACATTGCAATGCATTGAATAAATGCAGAAATGCATGTAAAATGGCACAGATGCCCATCTATCTTCTCCGCCTCTGTCCTCGCTGCACTGCATTTAATTCAATTTGGGCTCAACCCTCAACCACCCTCAACCTTTCAGGCATGGAGGAGAGAACCCCAGCAGAGGAATTGGGAAGGGATTTTCAAATAGACCAGCAGGAGGCGCCCTCTGCAACCACAAGCACCCGAGGCAGAGAAGAAGGTGCTCAAATTGGCACCTGCAATTAAAGGCCTAGCTTAAAACCTTAAATCAAGGGGCTTCAAACTTGGCAACTTTAAGACTCGTGGACTTCAACTCCCAGAATTCCTCAGCCAGGATGGGGGTACTATGGCCCCCTTCATGACTTGCGGACTTCAACTCCCAGAATTCCTGAACCAGCATGGGGGAATTATGGCCCCCTTCATGACTTGTGGACTTCAACTCCCAGAATTCCACAGCCAGCATGGGGAAACTATGTCCGCTTCATGACTTGTGGACTTCAACTCCCAGAATTCCACAGCCAGCATAGGGGAACTATGGCCCCCTTCATGACTTGTGGACTTCAACTCCCAGAATTCCACAGACAGCATGGGGGAACTATGGCCCCCTTCATGACTCGTGGACTTCAACTCCCAGAATTCCTCAGCCAGCATGGGGGAACTATGGCCCCTTCATGACATGCGGACTTCAAATCCCAGAATTCTTGAGCCAGCGTGCCTGGCTGAGGTATTCTGGGAGTTGAAGTCCACAAGTCTTAAAGTTGCCAAGTTTGAA